ACAAGGACCCATAATGTAAAGCAAGCAAATCAAACAAGGAAAGCAAGTAAAGGTGATCTAGCCCTAAGGTAACCCCACTTTTTTAGTTATTCCTCAGCAGATTCGCCAGTTCTGCAATATGGCGGGAGAACTGACTTGGTTGTTTTGCGTTTGATCGCAATTGTTGCGGATAGCAAGAGTCGCCACAAACTTTTCTTTTATCCAATAAGGAAAGGGTGAAAAGAATAGGAATGACCTTTAGAGATGTTTTCTTGAGTTCGGGGGTAGATTATGAAAAGGGAATGTGTTAGCACCTTTTTCATCCGTAGTTATCTACGGGCTCTTAGTTGCTTGCTAGATCACTTGTTTTGTTTGAAAATGTGCTTTTGTGGTGTAAGTTTGAAAATATTTTGCAAAAATGCCTTTGTTGCGGTAAACTTTGTAATGATTCTTGTCTCTATAAGAATGTGTATAAAGTGTTGGTTTTGAAAATAGTTCAAAGAGATGTTTGTTTTTGAAGATATTTTTGAAAGTGTAAGTGTGGAAAATGATTTTAGTTCAAGAGCAAGAAAATACGAGCATCCTACCTACTCAAAAGGTCTATGTTTTTTTCCTCCTCCTTTAGATGTTGCTATCTTACCATTGATTGATAAAAAGCCCCATCGTTGGATGTGAAGGGACGAACGTGGGTCAATCGTATAATCATAGAAGGTAACATATGAGACGTTTTAGCAATTTCGTTAGGGACTAGATCATTTACCGAAGGTAACATCGAGGAACTACAATCTTTTTATCGATGGTATTTGCTAAAACGCCCATATTCGAGGGACATGACTATTTTTCGAGGCAACAAGTGAGATTATCTTAGAGGTGCATGTAGTGTGTTTGATTGCATGCATTTAGTCTTTAAATTTAGGGTTGTCTACTTGTTGATTTTATCTTGCCATACACAACCTAATTCTAGCATTTTATGAAAGCAATAAAAATGCGGAAAATAAATGTCCTACGCTATTACATGTTTTAGGGGATGGGGTATACAAGTTTACAAATGGGGGTTGAAAAGCAATAAAAGTCATAATTATTACAACCATATTGAATAGCAAGAAGATGTAAATATATAGAAAATATAAAGATAAAAATAGTGTGAAAGAGAGAAAGAAAAAAAACATCCTGGATCGAAGGATATGTCTTTCGATTCCCACACTTGTTCCTTCTTTCGATTGGGCCTGTAACCAGTGTTGCATCCTTCGATTCACACTCCATGTCCTTTCGTTTGGGCCTGCAAATCAGTGTGTCTCGAAGCACACCCTTTGATTCACACACCCTCTTTTCTGTTTTCTTTCGTTTGGGACATGATAACAGTATGGGTCGAAGCCATGCTAATATGGCCTGTACAGGTTAGTCTCTAACATATATTTGGACAAAAAAAACAGACAAACAAAAGGATAAAAATGAAAAATAAGCAAAAGATTAGTTATATGCTTGAAACAAAAGGGTTAAAGTCAGGAAGACTTACCTTGATTCTGAAGTTGGTGCTTCTGGACCTTGAGTGGTTACCCTGGATGCTCTTGGATTCGAAGGTAGAGAAACAAGTGTTGTGTTTCTTTGACTGGATTCTAAAGCCAAGAAAAGTAGAGTTGTGTTTTCTTTGATTCTGGGTTCGAAGGGAAAGAAACAAGTGTTGTGTTTCTATTGTTCAGGATTCGAAAGAATAAAAACAAGGGTGTGAGTCTTTGATTCTGGTTTTAAGAGTGTGTTAAGTGTTTGATGATTTTTTCACACCACAAAAGTTTCTCCAGCTACCAAAAAGCCCCCCCCCCCCTTAGATGTGTTGTGGAACATCTTATTTATAGAAGAATTTGGTTGAGATTTGAGGGGGAAAACAAAAGAAATTTAAACAAATTGGGTATGCTGTTTTTGTATGCCAATTTGGTGCAAATATGGGAGCAGCATAGTAGGACTACTTTGCAGCAGTTTTATAGTGTTGTGGCCAGTACAGCAGGCCTGGGCTTGGCAACACATAGGACTTTAGTCAGTAAGCATCTTGAATATAACTCATCAAAAGATAAAACAAAACTTGTTTCCAACAATTGTGTCATTCGAATGGACCACATGTGTGTTCTTCGAATGCACCCCTTGTAATTCTTTGAATGGGGATTAACATTTGTCCTTCGAATGGGCCACCAACGTATGTCCTTCAAATGGGACACCCACGTATATCCTTTAAATTCAACAATGTGTGTCCTTCGAATGAGCCACCAATTGTGTCCTCCAAATGGGACACCCACGTATGTCCTTTAAATCCAATAATGCATGTCCTTCGAATGGGCCACCAATTGTGTGTCATTATGTGTGTTAAAGGTTTTTAAAGGAGGAATCGAAGCAAGTTGTTTCAAAGGGAGCCACTGTCTTGTGGGTGCTAGCATGAAAGAAGTCATTGCCTTGTGTATCAAAATAAACCTGCAGGAGGTCATTTCTCAATCGAAGCCTGCATGCAGATAGACATTGTCCAATCGAAGCTTCCATGCAGGAGGCCACTGCTTTGTGAAGCAAGCATGTAAGAGGCCAATGCTCAATCAAAGCTTGCATGCAGTAGGCCACTGCTTTGTGAATCAAAGCAGACCAGTAGGAGGCCACTTCTTTGAATCGAAGCAAGCTATTTCAAAGGGAGATATTGCCCAGTCGAAGCTTGTGGACCAAAGCTTGCTCGAAGGGGACCCAACGCCCAATCGAAGCTTGTGGACCAAAGCTTGATCGAAGGGGACCAAATATCAAATCGAAGCTTATGGACCAAGGCTTGATCGAAGGGGGCCAAATACCCAATTGAAGCTTATGAATCAAAGTAAACTTTCTCTTCTTCGATTTGATGCTTGATAGCTCAATATGATCCATGGAAACTTGTGCATTCTTGACCCAGTAGAAATATTATGAGAAAATCTTGAGAAATGAGAGAGCAAATTTTAGGGTACAACATTGATCTATATTGGTAGAAGGTTATTCAACATTGAGATGAGATTGTTCAACATTGGCAAAAGGTTATTCAACATTTGGAAAAAGGTTTATTCACGTCAATTTTTTTCTTCTTTTTTGAGATTTTTGTGGTTTTTTTATTCTGTGTTGTCTTACTTCTGCTGGCATTGACTGTGACCTTAGGCCTCCCTTGGTGAAACTTCACACCTATTGAACTAAGACTACAATTATTGAAAGACTCAGAAGAAGATGATGTCGATCCAACATAGTACAGAAGACTTGTTGGATCATTAAGATACATTTGTCACACTAGGTCTGATCTAACATACAATATAAGTATGGTGAGTAGATTCATGCAGAAGCTAGAGGTATCACACCTCACAACAACGAAGAGGACACTAAGATATCTCAAAAGAACTCTCGACTATGGTATTCTGTTTCTTGTAACTGATGAAGGAAAAGAATGCAAACTAGTGGAATGCACCGACTCGAGTTGGTGTGTGATGCTGAGGATAGAAAATTCACAGTTGGTTATATGTCTATACTAGGTGGTGCACCAGTTGCTTGGAATTCAAGAAAAGAAACAGTAGTAGCATTATCGTTGTGTGAAGCAGAATGCATAGATGCTTCTCTTTGTGCATATCAAGCAACATGAATGGTGAATTTAGTCGAAGAGATTACAAAGAAGAATAATAGAGCAATAACCATGAAGATCGACAACATGTCTACTATCAATATGGCGAAGAATTCGATAGCACGTGGAAGAAGCAAACACATTGAGATGAAGTTTCATTATCTTTGAGAGCAAGTAGCAAATGATAAGCTGAACCTGGAACAATACAGACTTGAGAATCAAATTGCAGACATCATGTTGAAGGGTGTGTAGGTCGAATTGTTCAAGAAATTGAGAACTATGATGAATGTAGATGTCTTAGACACAATGAATTACGTGATTTGTTGAAAGTGTAATTCTTAGTATCAAAGTAGGAATTCGACAGAGTCTGGGTTAGTTATATTTGATAGAGAATCGAATACAACAAGTAATTGTTGAAATACATGTAGCAATCAAAATGTATAATTGTGGAAGGAGTTACCCTTGACAAATTTAAACTTAGCATTTTTGTATGATTTACCTAAGTTAGTTAGTTAGAGTCTCTTTGGTGTCCAAGCAAACTCAACTATAAATAAGGAGGTACCCTATCATTGTAAAGAAGTGGAGAAAAGTTGAATAATAGTTTTTCAGTTTTGAAGACAGAGAGATATTCTACAGAATTTTCTTCTTCCCAACCCCGAATTTCCCCTTTCTTCCCAAATTCATCTTTCTTTATTCTCAAAATTTATGTTCATCATGAATCATCTTGCAACTAATGTGTGGTTGATTCACTCGAGTGAAGAGCGGAAAACAAAAGACATAATCAATCAGATAGATTGATTCTTGTTCATCAAAATTGATTCGAATTATTTGAGGTTTGATTCCAACACCCTCTAAATGTCATAGATCAATTTTGTGGCAAGGATGATAAAAACAAAATATGGCTTTCAACGTATCAACGCTATATATTTTGTTTTAAAAAGCTTAGGAACAAAATAAACACACGTGCTGAAAACAGATAATATTGCATATTCCAACCCGCTCCTAAGGACATTAAATTAAATGTTTCACAATTTTTTACCATCTCAACTGCATTGACAAAATATTTCACAATTTTCTCGACATCTCAAAAACTATAAAAATAAGGTAATATTACTAGAGTTGTACACAACAATATATCTTGGCAACTCTCAACTTCCTTTTCCCTCCCCTTTCAAAGTTTAAAACTCAACCCAACTAGATCTTGGCAAAGATTATATGTGATAGCTCGTACTGCTGCTTCAATAAATCTATCATTTACATTATGGCACATAATCACAAAAATTCAAAAGTAGCACGCCATAGCTGCAATGGTGAGTAAATTTAGCTATGCCTATACAAATGGCCTGTGCCTCAACTTATAAAGAATTACTCAACTAAAACTCAACGACTTCCTTAAAAAAAAAATATGTCACTATTGTCATTCCATTATAATGGGGCCTACAGATGAACGGAACATATTACTCAGGGCAAGCTGAACTTCTCCAGAGGTGTGTTCACTCCTCACAAGATCAACCAATAGTTGAAAGAACTGTGGAACATACCTCCGGAACGAATCTTTTTCCAGACCAGCCAAACCTTGCAGTGCTGAGATGACTAGAGATGTCCTAGCAGCTATTTCCTCTTTCTTTGTTGAACTCAGAGGGAGCTTTCTTCGTACCACTGGCTGTGTATCAGACTTGTGAAATGTGGATACAGAGCCTGCACAATTCAGATATATGTCTAATACATTTTCACATACAGTTACTAACTCTTGTTCTAGATCTATCTCCTTGTGCACAAAATAATGATCGTCGTGTAAGTTTTGTAGAAAGTTGAGGTGATTTTGGAAGGCCTCGTTTTCAAAATGAACCACGGGCGGGGCAGATAATTCCAAGATAGAGCAAGCTTTCTGCAACTTTTTCAGCAGGACTGACTCTCTGTTCAATTGTCGAGCATGCAAAGCAACAGATGAATATAGTTCAATAAGGACTTTGATGTTGTCTGCTGATAAGGATTGCTGGTGTTTTCTGCATAGATCAGTTGTAACCTGTAATCAGAACACAAAAAGTTGTCATCAAGATGAACTCAAGCCAATATGAAACTTAAAAGTGATACTGTTTTACTTATGAACTTCCATGCATGAGAAAGATATGTTGACATGAATAAGAGCAACCACCAAAAAAATGGAGTGATCAATCTCTTTTTTACCCATGATATGGTGTGCAACCTGGCCATTAACAACGTGTGATCCAAGAAGATACGGACAGAGCTGTATAAGGAAGGGGAGATGAGTTGAATGGTGGCAATGACAATTGAAGACAGAGATAGTGACAATGGTGGAGGGAAAAGTAGGGTTTAGGTGGAAAGATTTTGTCATGTAAGTGAGAAGACAGGAAAGGTGAAACTAAGTATAGCAACCAAAACTAACTCCATATCCTAAGAAAAGTAGCATGCGTAGTTTATGATAGAGATGAAGAAAAAAAAAGACAGATAAGGATAAATATGGACCACAAAGTATAAGAAAAGGACAAAACCAGTGGGGATGCATGGAGAACCAAACACGGGAAATTTGGTCCTCATGTTTAAAATGTTAATTCTTATCATGCTTTTATGTTTAGTTGAGAAAGAGCAAGAAGTAAACCTGTAAAATAAGTAGCTGCATAGCAATATGATTCTTTGTTCTTGAGACAACATATGTGGCCGTTTGCAGATTGTCATCATCATACTCATCATTTGTCAAATCATGATCAGAAGACTGTGAAAATTTAAGTACTTCAATATTACTCATGATTCTCAAAACCTTTATGAATCCAGGCACTGTTGATGTAGCTGCATCTTTCAAACACAGAAAAATCTCTTTCCATTCTTCTTCTGAAAGCCTGTTATCAAGGTCACCTGTGAGACGCACTAATCCAGCAACTCCAGTACTAGCTGGACCTTGAACAGGACTTCTAATGAACGCTGTCAGTATGGACACAACACCTGGTAGCTGAGACCTCACCATATCAAAGAAGGTGACAAATAAATCTATTAAACATTCGGCCGCTACCGGGGAAGTCTCAGAATCCCATGTGCCTCCTTCAGTATGCACAGATACTGAAGATGAACATTGACCCTCTGGTATATTCATGTCTCGCTTTCCACATACTGAGTTATATACAGGGAAAACAACAGAACAGAAAATGCTATTCCAAAATTTACGTGAAAATAGATGGCCATGATCCTTCAAAATGTTAAAAAGAACCTCCAAAGAACTCTTTTTGATAGCTGATCTTGGATCAGAAGTTAATTTTGACAACCCTGCAAAAAAAAACAAAAACTATACTTCAAAACAGAAAGCACAGACAGGGTTTACAAAACAATGGACATAAATATCCTAACACAGAAAGATTGGGGTTATCCAATGCTGCACAAAGTGTGGGGAAATAACTTCATGCTTACTTTTCTGACACTAACTAGGAGCTAAGGATACACAGATCCACCTTCTTTATTAAGAGAAGTGCAGTAGGCAATTCTGTTGACCTACTGCAGCAATAATCACTTGATTTTAACACAAAAATTTAATGTAAAGCTTACGGATACAGTATGGTAAGGGTCAGCACCAATATGGTTACAACTTATAAGCAATAGACATCTCAGATTTATGCAGGCAATCAACCAAACAGAATACACAATTTATCGGGGCAAGAATATGCTTTACTGTCCCTCATGCATAGTGGTGTAAAAACTGTACAAAACATCTTGCCCCATAGCAATTAATAGCATCTGAAGGCATCTTACCTGATAACAAAGGAATCCAAAAGGACACGTGATCATCGCTATCGGTAAGAGCTTGTACATCAGAAACACCATTTGTTAATATAACTGATGAGCCATCAGCACTGCTCTTCTTATTGCATACAAGTCCTCCATCCGCAAGTCTGACTGCACAGAAACGAAGAAATGCAATTGCATTGAGGCTAACATCACTATTGAACCGGCTATTTGTAAATGTCAAAAGGCATCCAACACAATCAGTGAAGGTCGTTGTTTCCGTCTCAGTAATATAAGGAAAATATTCACGCACTATTTTCTCCATAGTCTCGAAGGCTAACAATACAATATTCTTCCGCTCATCAGCTGCCGCAGCTGTAAAAACCTGAGACAAGAAAATTGCATGATAAGTCCAAATATTTCCATGCCCTAAATTATCAAATCCTTACAATAAGACATGCATATGATTACAATTTTGGTCTTTTATATGAAGCCCATATCTGAGCATTATGTAATAGGTGAACGTACTACATGTCATTGCATCAAAAAGTTGCTGGGATATTAAACTTCTGGGTTGTTCTAGATTGTCGAAAAACCATTAATAATTTAGGTGTTCTTCATGCCCTTTTTCTTGTTTGTGTCCATTTTCGTTTTAACAAGTTTATAGAGTACAACTTTTATTGACAATTTTACGATTTTAGTGTTAAGGTGTTATTAGAATATGCTTTGGACTTCCTAATTTACCAACACACACACACACACAAAAATAGAGGTGTTCAAACATATATTATGTGTATAAGTATTTTTGCATTTTCCTTACTAGAAATGCTTATATAACAAACTCAAGATTTTAAGAAACGCAATAATGAGCATTTCTTCCTAAACCCCTCTTTGTTCAAATATGCAACTTAAATATATGCACAAATACAGAAGAAAAAAAGGCATGCATAATCAAATGTAAAGAATAATAAACAAACACAAATTTTCTTTCACTAAATAGATACAGTTCAGCAATACTTGACGATTTAAAACTTTGACTTCCTACCAAATAATTTAAAACCATGTCCAAAGCTATAACTCAACATACCATAAAAACACTTTTCCAGCCAGATTTCACATTACTGACACGGCTAAGGACCATCTGTGAAATACAGCGAACTATTAATTCTCTAATTTCAGTTGAGTTGCTTTTCTGCATGACAATCACAAATGGTCTCAGAAATTCATTCTGGAAGTTATAATTAGCCAGCTCCTCGCGCTCCAAAAATTTCATTGCAAGTTGTCGTAGTGAATCTATCGCAAAGATTGCAACTGACAGGTTTTCTGACAATCCAACTGACACAAAGAAGTCAGATAGAACATTCCATATGCGAGACCACACTAATCTAATGCGGTTCATATTATAATGCCTGCAAATGTAATCATGTGAAGGATTTTAATCACATGTGTGCAAGAGAAGAGAACTTAAAAACATCAACTATTAAAGAAGAGAATTTAACAATGAAGATAAGTATGTACTGTTGGAGATATGAATTCATTCTGGAGTTTCACCAAACAGTTGGTCCTTGATATGGTATTAGAGCATCATGGACCTAGTAGTTAGGATGTCAAAACTGGCTAGTAAATTGTCTCTACAGCTGACACTAACTAACTGATACATCATACATCAGTTTAACTAAATGTTAAAATATATACTCTCATACAGACCACACTGCGACACTAAATTTTCCGAATAGCAGCCACCAGTAGCTTCTTACCACCTCTATAGCACACCATTAACAAAGAAATTCATTTTTTTGGGGCGTTCATTTAATCATTTCAAACATAACAAAAAGAATATCGCAAACCATGGACCATGGAGATTGAACAGACTGAAAACTCAAATCTTCCATCTACTAAATCATTTAGTTGTGCCTATCTCAAAATTCTTACTTGTTTCAATTATAACATCCACTCTGTGATAAATATTGAAGTATATAGGTTATATGCAGTAGGACAAGGCACTGTTTTGTGCAAGGCATGATAGTCCTAATAAATGACCAGTTATCTCTGGTAAACAAACCCCTACGATATGATAGTGTCAACAACATATTGAATATGAGTATGTGAAATTTGGTCTAGTCATATATTCATATCCCAGGAAATTCCGTACTTCCTTATACTGAAACCAATGTTTTAAAACCAGACCAGGCATTGAACCAGTGAGGACTCCAGGTCATGATTTAATTGGTCCAACCAATTCAACCACAGTTAAACCGGATAATGAATAAAATAAAATAATAAATTTATATATATATATATATATATATATATATATATATATATATATATATATATATATATATATTATATATAATATATATATATATATATATATATATATATATATATTTATATATATATATATATATATATATATATATATATATATATATATATATATATATATATATATATATATATATATATATATAT